AGGGGAGAGTATTGACATATTGTGGGGTTGGCAACCAATGTCACAAAACAATATGTATATTAATTGTTTAATGAGAAACTAGTTTGCTCTGCAAACCTTCATCTAAAGTACAATAAAAAAAAAAAATCTACCCACTCCCAAAATAAATAATAAAAAAGCAAACTCCTCAAATTCCTAAAAATAATAAAAATTAAAAAGCAGACCTACTGGATTGGTTGAGAAGGCCTGGGGTGGCAAGAAAGGCCTGGCCGTGGTGCAACCATGTCACTGGATGCACCTCCCCCAATTTTTCTCTCCAAAGGAGAGAACCATCTTGAACCAGCCAGCGAGCTCTGGGGAGGGCATCCTGCCCAGGCCATGGCCCCAGGAGGCGCGTGGTCTCAGTAGGCAGCTCCGGAAAACATTTCTAAGTCCCCCTCTGGAGGTAGAGTCCAGCCTCCGTCAGTCAGAGAAGCCCAGGAGGGAGCCCCAGGCAGGGCCTTGTGTTAGAAGGCCTCCCCCAAGAAGTTTGCTAAGCCCCCCTCCAGAGGCCAGGAGCAGTTTGAGTAGAACAGGGAAGCCCCAGTAGGCTGCCCCGACCCAGCTTTGGTCCTGTGTGAGGTCTGTTCGATAGGTGCACCTTTGAAAATATTCCCAAGAGTCCTTCCGGATGGGAGAACGGGGCAGCCATCCAGGAGATTAGGGAGGTCGTGGATCTAGTTGTAGGAGGAGCCCCTAAAGTATTTTGACGTTCCCCTCCAGTGGTGTGGACAGGCTACAGGGAGGGTGCCCTGGTCTTAGAAGGGACCCACCAAAAGCGTTTCTAATCTCCTCCAGCAGTGTGGACAAGACTGGATGGGCCAGTGTGGCTTGGGGAGTGTCAGCTGGCTCCCTCTTGGCCCCGGTCATGGTATTCTTTCACTCTGGGAGGGGACACGGACCAGGCCAGCAGGGAAACTGGATGTGGGGGCACCGGGCCCACTGTCGGTCCTGCTTAGGTGCCGATCTTTAAGAGGACTTCCGGAAAAGATTTCTAAGTCTCTCTCACTAGGCTGGCACCGGTCCAAGCCAGAGAGGAACGCTCATGGAGGGCCCCCCTCCCCGGGTCTGCCCAGGACCCTGTGTGGGACCAGATTGAGGATGTGGCTCCTGAATGTTTTCTAAGTCTCCTCTACTTAGGGGGAGCAGAGCTGGGCCAATCAGGGAAGCCTGGAAAGGTGTCCCAGGTGCACCCAATGACCTGCTTAGGGCCTGGGCATTGGATAAAAAACAAAAACAAAACCATTGCTGTCGAGTCGATTCCGGCCCATAGCGACCCTAAAGGACAGAGTAGAACTGCCCTAAAGGGTTTCCAAGGAGCGGCTGGTGGATTTGAGCTGCCAAGCTTTTGGTCAGCAGCCTTATCAAAACAGAGGCTGCATTCCTGCTTAGGACCCTGTCTCAGGAGCTGCTCCCTGAGAAGGTGCTTAAGCCCCCCACCTTGGTGGGGACGAGTCAGGTCCAGAGAGTGAGCCGTGAAGGGGCATCCCAGACACAGCCATGTCTCTGAGTTTGCATTGGTCGCCACATGCGCCTCTAGCGAAAGTTTTCCAGTCCCCCTCTGGAGAAGGCCACGGGCCTGGGCTGAGCAGAAACACCTGAGGAGGACTCCCCAGTCCTGCCATGGCCCCCGGGGGGCCAGTTGCTGGATGCGACCCCTACAGAATTTTCCGTCTCCTTGTAGAGGAAAATACCAGTAGGAACCCTGGTGGCGCAGTGGTTAAGAGCTACGGCTGCTCACCAAAAAGTCAGCAGTTCAAATCCACCAGTTGCTCTTTGAAAACCCTATAGGGCAGTTCTACTCTGTCCTATAGGGTCACTATGACCCTATAGAAACAAAGAAAAAAACCCATTGTCATCGAGTTGGTTCCAATTCATAGCGACTCTATGGGAGCGACTGGTGGATTCGAACTGCTGGGCTTTTGGTTAGCAGCCATAGCTCTTAACCACTGTGACACCGGGGCTCCATGACCCTATATAGGGTCGTATATATATATATATGGAGGGGGGTTCCCACTCATAGCCACCCTATAGGACAGAGTAGAATTGCCCCATAAGAAATGCGAGGAGCGGCTGGTAGATTTGAAAAGCTGACCTTTTGGTAAGCAGCTGTAGCTCTTAACCACTGTGCCATCAGGGCTGTAGATATACATATATATATATATGTATATATAGGGTCACATTAGCTAATGGGGTCCTCGGGTGACCGCGGCTGAGACCAGAGCACTCCCCCACCTGGCCTCTTGGGATGACCTTCAAAAAAGAGAACCAAACCGGCTGCTGTGGAGTCGATTCCAACCCTATGTGTATATGACCCCATATGTATGACCACACACACATACATATGACCATATATACACATGGATCTGACTCTATACACACACACATATACATATGTATGTATGTGATCCTATATATATATGTATATACATCCTGTATATATATGGTTGGAATGGACTCGACGGCAGCGGGGTTTTTTTGGTGGGGGGGAGTCATCCCGAGAGGCCCGAGGAGGGGGCTCTGGTCCTAGCCACAGTCACATGTGGACCCCGTTAGTTTACGTGTCTCCGGAAAATGTTTCTAAGTCCCCTCCAGGGTGGCTAGGGACGGCCTTGGAGGGCGATCTCACGTGGGGCTCGGTAGCCACACCTGAATCCCAAAAACGTTGAAGTCCTCCTCCAGAGGGGGGACGCTGACCTGGGATGGCCAGGGAGGGCCGTGGAGAGCGCCCCCACAGTCTCATGTGGGGTGGTCATCAGGGGCACCTTGCAGAAATGATGTCTCTGTCCCTCGCCCGAGGTCCGAGATGGCCTAGGCCAGCATGACACCCCCACAGCTGCGGGCGCGTGTAGGCGGAGTGAGACTTGGAGGAGGCCGGCCTCTGCGGTCCGGGTCGGTCCCGGTTGTGCCGGTTGTCGGGCGCCACCTGGCGGCCACTTTTGTATCGTTCCCCCCCCCCCCCGAGCTTGGGCGGCCTCAGAGAGGAATGGGATTTGGCCGTGGAGCCCAGAGCAGAGTTGCAGGGGCCGCCAGGGATGGCACGGTTGTCCTGGCCACCACCCGTGCCGCTCAGAAGGGATTTGCTCGAGAGGTCCCTGCAGCTAGAGGGGACAGCCGGCATCTGGGAATTGAGTAGCTGCCCACAGGACCCACTTGGGCCCTAGAGGGCAACCTGAGTAGGGAGCCCTGGCTGGCTATGTTCCACGTGGAATTGTTCTAAGTCCCCCTCACGTGCGCCCCACACCCAGCCCAACACGACGGCGTGCTTCACCGTTGCCCGATTTGCTTCCCGAAAGTGTTTCCAAGGTCCCCTCTGCAGAGGGGCGAATGGCCCAGGCTGCCAGGAAAGCTGAGCTAGGTGCCCTGTGCCCAGCTGCAGTTCCTATTGCAGGCACCCCCAAAAGTTTGTAAGTCCCCGTCCAGTGGTGGGACTGTTACCACAAAACGCAGGTCTGAGCCGCCTGTCACAGAAGCCAATACTGAGACAGGGGTGAGGTGAGCAGCAAGAGTGTTTCAGTGTGTATCAATATACAGGAGACAGAGGGGAATGAGCGCCTCCAAAATCTGCCTCCCCCTCTGGAGGCCGACCAGAGGATTTTATCGGGACAGGGTCAGGGTCTGAAGAATCTGTGGAATGCTAGTTCCCCTTTGAGGTGGGCACAGTGACCTCTTTCCAGACACGCTGACCCTCGGCAGGTGTTCGTGAAGAGCCTTTGTTCAGCTGTCTTGCCTTCAGATTTTATCACTCGTTGGTCTACCTCCCAAAGAGGAACTTAGGTTAATTTTTAAACTTTTATAAAATCAGGGGAAAACAGGCGGGAAGAGAGAAGGAAAATAAATCAGAATCATAGGAGCATGCAGAAGTGAACTATGCAAGCAGTGTGTTAACAATACCACAATACCCAGGACGCTAGGCTTACATAGCTGACAATAAATGTGAAATTCCCAAGCAGTCCCTTTCAGAACCATCTGGGCCAAACAGAAAGGTCAGGACTGGGCGCCCTGGACCTGGCCACGGTCTCAGACAGGCCTTAGTTGTCTGAAGCACCTGCTGGAAACTCCCATTCTGCTGCGGGGGGTGGGGGGAGGCTGGCCCTCATTGGTCAGGGAGGTTCAAGTAGGTGCTGTGGGCCGTGCTTCATTCCAGTATCTTCTAAGTCCCTCTCTGGAAGCTGAATCCTTGCCAGGGCTGGCCAGGGACGCCTGAGGACATTGCTCCTGGCAAGGCAGTGGCCCTGGGTGGGGCCCAGACACCACCTAACCTAAAACTGCTTGCTGTTGAGAGGATTTTGACTCTTAATGACCCTATAGGACATAGTAGAACTGCCCCATAGCATTTCCAAGGCTGTGAATCTTTCTGGAAGCATACCTCCACTTCATTGTCCCGTGGAGCAGCTGGCGGGTTCGAACTGCTGAACTTTTGGTTAGCAGCCAAGCTCTTAACCACTGTGCCACCAGGGCTCCTATTAAATATATGGTCCTTGAAAATTTCTCTCCCAATCTGTGGGTTGTCTTTTCATTTCATTAATAAAGCCATTTGAAGAACAAAATATTTAATTTTTACTAGGGCCCATTTATCTATTTTGTTCTTTGCTGTTTGTGCTTTTGTTGTCATATCTGATAATACATCATTAAAAGCAGGTCTCACAGCTTCACCCCTATAACGTACCATGAGGGACAGTTTTTATTCTTGGTGAGTTTTTTTTTTTTAATTACAAAATTCCTTACCATAAAAGAATCATTGGTGCTCTTTAAGCCTCGGAGTATTATTCAAGCTATAAAATTAATAAGATCATGAATTAATATTGACTAGAGTAAAAATAATATTTTAGTATTGTACAAATAATTTCAACTACCAGAATCTGCACAAAGCCAATTTCTATGAGGCGGAGGTCAAATATATCCCAGATTTCCATATTCTCGAAGCTGCTGTATGTACCACGCCATCTCTGACACCAGTTACTCTCTCTCCTCTCAGCACTGTTCCCTACCCATTTGGGTTTGGCAATTCACTGTAAAGTCTCACAGAACTCACAAGGTGGGCATACACTAAAGTGGTTTATTAAGTAGGTAACAGGGTACCACTGGGGATCAGGATCAACAAGCTACAACTCTGGAGCAGGAGCAGGAAGTATGTAGGCAAAGTCTCCCTTCTTCAGGGCAGGACATCTCTCTCAGCTCCTCTCAGCCATGCAGGCCTCCTCTTGGCCCCCTGAGGATGGGCTCCCCCTCGCCCCCTCAGGACGGGCTCCTTTGAGACCCCTCGAAAACCACTTACTTTGCAGATTACTTTTTTTTTTTTTTAGCAGTTACGCCACTTTGACAAGGCAAATACCAACTCCCTTTGCTCCCCAAGGGTATCTTTGATTACTTAAATCCGCGTTTCAGCTCATATACGCATTTAAATCACAGGCTTCTTACTATAGAGGAAATAAGGACAGCCGTAGTGGATCCCAAACACCAGTGGGAACCACTGATCCCTATGGTCCCAAGTTGCTGCGCTCTGGGTTCCCGCACGGACACCGAGCTTTCCAATACCGGAAGCGGAAGTGAGCGTCCTCGGTCGGCAGCCCAGGTTGTGTCCCTGCTGCTCGTCTGTGAGGTCGGTGTGGCCCTGTCGCCGGTGGGCCCGCTCCGCTAGCCGGTGACCCGCAGGTCCTGTCCCGGGTCTGAGGGCGCTGCGCCCGCTCCCCGCGCACTCCTGGTCTCCCAGAGCCTCGGGACTCCCTGTAGCCGGGGAGCCGCCGCCGCCTGGCCGCGTCCTGCTGACTCCTCTGGGCTCTCTCGGTGCGTTCACAGGTGAGGTCGTGGGAACCCTCGCCGCGCACACGCGTGCTTCTCGGGTCAGCGGCGTCAGCGGCACAGGGGGCGCGTGAGAAATGCAGGGTCCTGATACCTGTAATAAAACCACCTAACCCAGGAGTCAGATGAGACTGCTTAAAAAGTTCCTTACACGAAGATTCAGAAAACTGGTTTTATTTAGCTACATGCATGCTTGTGGAGGGCAGCAAGCAAGGAGCCAGGAGAAATGTTCTCCGGTCAGGCTGCCCGCTGGAGAGGCGTGCATATTTATGGGGCGGCAGAATAAGGAGGTTGTACATCTTCATTAAATTTCTGGGGAATCATATGCAGAATAGCAGTGGGACAGGGGAAGATGTCTGGGCCGGATGCTGGTGTCGGACCTTTCGCTTCCGAATGTTTTCCCTCCGTTTTGTACTGCAGCACTTTGCTTCCTTCGGGTCTTTTAATGGCACTTGTGTTCTGCATACGTCAGCTTAAGAACACGGGAACCTTCCCTGCACGTGGGTTGCAGGCCGCAGCTGGTCTGCACTGGTTCAAGCCACCAGCCTCTAACACCCAGGTGGGGATTTTCCAGGAAGGTTAGAAACTGAAAAAACAACTCAAAAATATCTTTAGTGGGCGAGGCAGAATTTCTAGTTTGTCACCCTTACCCCCCCACCTCCAGGGGCGCCCCTTTATTCTCTTTTCTGTTTCTTTACACTCCAGCCTCAGCCAGACTCTTTGGCCTCATCTGCCAATGCCCCAGCACACATGCACACGCAGACGAACACGTGCATGCGCGCGCACACACGAACAAGATTTTCCTGCTTCTCAGCCTTTGCACCAGCTATGTTTTCTGGTTGGAGAAAAACTTTAATCATAGGAATTCGGTAATTCTTATAATACAGGTCTGACTTCAAATGTCACCTTCTCAGACAGTGCCCCCTACCCCCGTTACACCCACGCGTGTATGTTTAAATATCATTGCAGTTTTCAGAATGGGGTAAATCTAGTTTAGTCGACATTAACCTTCATCATGTAAATACAGGCAAATTAAGTTGAATGTGACCTTGGCTTTTACCTGTTCTTCTTCCCTGTGTGACAGGCTTCCAGCAAACAAACAGCTGTGAGGCTCTGCATTGTGCTGACGGCAGCTTTCACACCCTCCCTGCTGTGTTGCTCGCCTAGAGTTCTAGTGAGTCCACTAGAGCTGTGGTTGCCAGCCAGAGGTTGCTATTTCAATTAAAATAAATTACACCTAAAAGGAAAAGTTCATTTCCTCAGTTGTACTAGTCATGTGTTCAGTGGTAAGTAGCCACATGGGCTAGAGGCTACCCTATTGGCCTGTGCAGAAAGAGAACATGGCTGTCTTCACAGAAAGGTCTCTTGGATAGTGCTGCTCAAGAGTATATACAACAATTAAAGTTAACTAAAACTAAAAGAAAAAAAAGTACAGTTTCTTAGTTGTATTATTCATATGTTCTGTGGTAAATAGGCACATGGGGCTAGAGACTACCATATGGGCCTGTGCAGAAAGAGAACATGTCTATCTTCACAGAAAGGTCTCTTGGATAGTGCTGCTCAAGAGTATATACAGCAGGTGATAATCTGTGTGTGTCCTCGATGATCAGTGTCATAGGCCAGAAGGAACAAGTAAAGAAAATACAGAGTGTCTGCCCTAGAGTTATAGTCTAGCATGGGAGACAGTTTTAAATAACTAGTGAAAAACCAGGGACATGTGGTACCTGTATTGAAAGGACCTAACCTGAGAGGTTAGACAGCTTGAAAAGGAAAATTATCGAAGCGAAGATTCAGAAAATTGGTTTTATTTAGCTACACGCATGGCTGTGTAGGGCTGATAACATGTTTTATGGGTGGGGTGGAAGAGTGTTTCAGCTGGAAAGAATGAGTGTTTAAATAAATTCCTGAGGCGACAAAGAACCCGTATCCATTCCTTGATGAAAGTCAGAGATGATTGAAGCCGAGAAAACAATGTGTGGGTAGAGGGGGGTGTTGTGCAAGGCAGCTTGATTGGAGGAGGCAACGGCAGCCGGTGGTTTAGAACCATACTGACTACTCTGGGCTCTTTGAAGGCTGGTGGACAGCCACTGCCGGGTATGGAGCAGTTCCTGTGCTGCCAGTAGATTTGGGAGTGACAACCGTGATTGAATGGTCAGGCAGGAGCTTGTGAGCCAATTAGGGAAGACTGAGGAGGCCTAGACATGGAGATTGGTTGTGGATCAGGAAGACAGTGCAGTGATAGCATGTAGATGTGGATGGTTCACAGGGCATCCATTGATGGAATGCTCGTTCCTTGGGTTACAGGCTATAGATCAGTGAGTGCTTCTCATACTTGAATGTGAGTGTTATGGATTGAATTGTGGCCCCCACAAAAATGTGTGTCAAATTGGCTATGCCCTGATTCCTAGTGTTGTGTGATTGTCCACCGTTTTGTCATCTGAAGTGATTTTACTGTGTGTAGTAGATCCTACCTCTATGATGTTAGCCAGTACCCGTTGCCGTCGGGTTGATTTTCAAATAACGACCCTATAAGACAGGGTAGAACTGCCCTGCACGGTTTCCAAGGAGCGCCTGGTGGATTCGAACTGCCACCCTTTTGGTTAACAGCCATAGCTCTTAGCCACTACACCACCAGGATTTCCTCTGTGATGTTAGTAAGGCAGAAGTAGAGGCCGTTACGTTAACGAGATAGAATTCAGTCTACAAGATTAGGTTGTATCTTGAGTCAATCTCTTTTGAGATATAAAAGAGAGAAGCAAACAGAGAGATATGGGGACCTCATACCACCAAGAAGGAAGAGCCGGGAGAACAGCGCATCCTGTGGACCTGGAGTCCCTATGCTGAGAAGCTCCTACACCAGGGGAAGATTGATGATAAGGAACTTCCCCCAATACCGATAGAGAGAGAGAAAGCCTTCCCCTGGAGCTGGCGCCCTGATTCGGTCTTCTAGCCTCCTAGACTGTGACACAATAAATTTGTTAAAGCCATCCGCTTGTATTTCTGTTATTGGCAGCACTAGATAACTAAAACAACGTGGATAACCCGAGGATTTTGCTAAAATGCAGATTTTGATTCAGCCGTTCTGGGGTTGGGCTCGAGTCTACATAACTGAACAAGCTTTTAGGTTATGCTGGATATAAGACCAGAAATAAGGATGTGAATTAAAATTAGTGCTGTGAGAGAAAGTGATAAAAGGAAGGGTAATGCTGAAAGGGGAGATGCTGACATAAAGATGACGCGAGAGAGAGAACATTGACCTGAGGCCAAGAAATGGAAGACTAGGAGGCAGCTTGGAGGGGAGCAGGGTGGAAAGAAATGGGAACACCGGGGAGGGATGCTCCTCAGAGAAAACCTCATGATTTCCTGATTGATTGATTATAATACTGAAAAACAGTGCGTTCTGGAATCCTCCCAGATTTCTTAAAAGTTTAGGGGTTGGTGGTGTCATGGTTTGAAAACAAAGGGGGAAAAAAACTCAAGGGAAAGAAAGAAATGTTAATTGTAAAAGCAACCGGAAAAATACACATATTAACCAAACCCAACCCAACCCTACCCATTGCCATCAAGCCAATTCTGACTCCTAACGACCCTATACGACAGAGTAGAACTGCCCCGTAGGGTTTCTAAGGAGCAGCTGGTGGGTTGGAACTGCCAACCTTTTGGTTAGCAGCCGAACTCTTAACCACTGTGCCACCAGGGCTCCATATTACAAAGCTATAAATGAAACAGAAAATTGTTTTAAAAGTGCAGAAGAAGGGTTTTAACTGCACATAAGTAAAAGTGAATGAACCATGAGTTCATTGACAAAAGTTGAAAAATATGTTCTTCCTGACAGTTTGCCCACATTGCTGTCAAATAACAGTGCGTGTGTTCATGTATAAGGGAGAAAGTTACACAGGTGAGCCCACAACTTCAACCTTGGACCCCTGACTCCCTGGAGGGAATCAGGTTCAAGTTTTACAGTCTGGCCAGGTCTGGTTGCTTCCTGGGATAAGTAAATTCCTCCATCTGTGACCTTGCTGGCAGAAAGAAGAGGCCCATGGAGCCACATGAAGAATGCAGGTGTGTGCCCTGGAGGCTGGAGCCTGTTCTGCCTTCAGTGCAAATGCCCTCAGGGTGGAGCGTGGCCCTGAGCCTGGGAGGAGGCCAGAGACCTGTCACTCCCTGCTTCTCAATACTATTTCCTCCCCATCCTTCTTCCATTTCAGGTCTCAGGTGTGATGCAAGGAGAACGAGTCCAGTCCAGGCAGATGGAGACTTAGAGCAACCATTATGCATATTTGTAATTCAAGAGGAAGTGTTTCAACTGCTGTCTGGTGTGTGGACCAAACATTATTCATCTGCCTCCAAACTGCCCAGTGCTCTGCTTCCACTCCCGTCCCTCTTCCTGATGTGGCTTCATGGGCTCAGAGACGACATTCCCTTAGACTTCCAGAAGCTGGAGAAGGAAATGGTGAGTTCTACGGAGAACTGGGTTCTCCTTACCATAAGCGCGTGAGGCTGGATATGAATTGTTGGGGGAGCAGCTGTGTGCTGCGGGACTGGTTCCTCAAAGAAGAAGAAAAATGGCAGAGGAGGCCAAGGGACTGAGCCCTAGGAGACACCCTGATGCCCTGCTCCACTGCCACCGGACACTTCTTCTGTAGCCATGTGGCTTTTCAAGACGTGAATGCTGGGGTCACCTTCCTTCTTTGACTCCCAGAGCTGTCACCGTGGGGTGTTAACGTCCCCACCCTGGGCCTTGGTGCTCTGTGTTGAATGACAGAGTCTGCTGACAAGATCCTGAAGACGGAGCAGCTCTGGCTGTGGAGGCTGAGCCCCACCCTCCAGAGCCGTCCTTGGCCCATCTCTCTGAGCAGTGTTCTTGACTCTCCCCAGGCACTGGAACAATTTCTGTGCAGTTCTAAAACCACAGCTCCCCCTCTTACCCTGTGTTATGGGCCAGAAAAGTGGGGGAGAGTTCGCAGGGGGAGACCCTGACTGTTCGTGGGGTCTTGGGTGATGTGAGTGTTCTGATGTCACAAAGGCATGAAGCTGAGGACAATGAGTCCAGCTGAGTCCAGCTGGGTCCTGTGTGGGGTCTCCAGACCCACTTTTCGCCTAATGGGGAAGACTTTTGCCTTGAGGCATTGAGGTGTGTGGAAAGCATGACTCCCCAGTCTAGGTCCTTGTCCTCCCACCTGTGCCTGGAGCTGGGATTTAATCCTCTAATTGTTGATGTTCTCCGTAGTCTTGAATTAAAATCTGCAATTAAAGTGTTCTGTCATCCCATGAGATGTATTAAAGTTTTTGGATTTACAGTTTCCACTGGATGAAAATTTCTAGATCACTGGTTGTGTTTCTACTGAGAATTTTTCAATTTAATGGATATAAACTTCTTAAACTCTGAGGAATATTTATTTTAACTTATAAAAGTTACTCCAAAGTTTATCTAAATCTTGAGAAAGTTATCTTCTGTCTGAAGATTATTACTGTCTGTATTTGGAAGTTTCTGAGTATTACCAATAGTGTTGCTAGTATTATAGGCTTATCGTCCAGGTCTTCATCCATAGGCTGTCTCTTGTTTCGTTGTGCCTCTCTTGAGCTTTCTGTAGATTCACTTGTTACTCAGTTCTTCAGTGACTTGTAATCCATGCTGACGGTTGTAGGCTTTGATCTTCATCAGTAAGTGCTTCAAGTCCTCTTCACTTTCAGTAAGCGAGGTTGTGTCATCTGCATAACGCAGGTTGTTGATGAGTCTTCCTCCAATCCTGATGCTGCGTTCTTCTTCATATAGTCCAACTTCTCTGATTATTTGCTCAGCATACAGATGGAATAAGTATGGTGAAAGAATACAACCCTGGCACACACCTTTCCTGACTTTAAACCATGCAGTAACCCCTTGTTCTGTTTGAATGACTGCTTCTATGTACAGGTTCCTTGTGAGCACAATTAAGTGTTGTGAAATTCCCATTCTTCACAGTGTTATCCATGATTTGTTGTGAACCACACAGCCTTTGCATAGTCAGTGAAACACAGGTAAACATCTTCTGGTATTCTCTGCTTTCAGCCATGATCCATCTGACATCAGCTGTGGTATCCCTCGTTCCATGTCCTCTTCTGAATCTGGCTTGAATTTCTGGCAGTTCTTTGTCGATGTACTGCTACATCTGGTTTTGAATGATCCTTAGCAAAATTTTACTTGCATATGATACTAATGATAGTTTGATAGTTTCCACATTCTGTTGGATCAGCTTTCTTTTTTGTCACTTTCAGTTTGTTTTTTTTAAATTGTACTTTAGATGAAGGTTTACAGAACAAATAGTTTCTCATTAAACAGTCAGTACACATATTTATGACATTGGTTAACAACCCCATGACATGTCAACACTTTCCCTTTTCGACGTTGGAAGATTTTTTTTTTTTTTGTGAAAATATAGCCAAAGTTACACCATTTCAAATGTTTCTACATGTACGATTCAGTGACATCGGTTACATTCTTCTAGTTGTGCTGTTATTCTCACTATCCTTTTCCAAATTATTCCATCACCATTATCTTCAACTCACTGCCCCCTAGGCTTCCCATCAAACCTTTTGAGTCGCTGTTATCAATTTGATCTCACATAGATAATTGTTTTTTTTTTGTAACTTAGATGAAGATTTACAGAACAGTTTCTCATTAGACAGTACACATATTGCCCTATGACAATGGTTAACCCCAGGACATGTCAACACTGTCCCTTCTCAAACTTGAGTTCCCTATCACCAGCTTTCTTGTCCCCTCCTGACTTCTAGTCCTTGTCCCTGGACTGCTGTGCCCCATTAGTCCCGTTTGGTTTTATGGGGCTATCCAGTCCCCAGCCAAACGGTAAACCTCGGGAGTGATTTCACCACTGAGCTAAAAGGGTGTCCAGGGGCCATACTCCAGGGTTTCTGCAGTCTTTCAGGCCAATAAATCTGGTCTTTTTTTGTGAGTTAGAATTTTGTTCTGTATTCTTCTCCAGCTCTGTCCAGGACACTCTATTGTGGTCCCGGTGAGAGCAGTCAGTGGTGGTAGCTGGGCACCATCTAGCTGTACTGGACTCAGTCTGGTGGAGGCCATGGTAACTGTGGTTCATTAGTCCTTTGGACTGATTTTTTCCTTGCATCATGTTCTCTTAATTCTCCCTTGCCCCTGAAGAGGTGAGACCACTGGAGCATCTGAGATGGCTGCTCACAGGCGTTTAAGACCCCAGACGCTACTCACCAAAGTAGAATGTAGAATATTGTCTTTATAAATTGTGTTATGCCAATTGAGCTAGACGTTCCCTGAGACCATGGTCCCCACAGCCCTCCGCCCAGCAGTTCAGTCCCTCGGAGTTCGGATGTGTCTATGGAGCTTCCATGACCTTTCCTTGTACAAGCTGTGTTGGCTTCCCCGGTGTGTACTGTCTTACTCTTCACCAAAGTAACCACTTATTTATTGTCCATTTGGTTCCCCCCCACCCCAGCCATCCCTCATAACCAACAAAGATTATTTCTTTTTGTGTGTAAACTTTTACGGGTTTTTACAGTAGAGGTCTCATACAATATTTGTGTTTTTGTGATTGATTTATTTCACTCAGCATAATGTTCTCCAGTTTCATCCATGTCATGAAATGCTTCACACATTCATCATTGTTCTTTATCTTTGCATAATATTCCATTGTGTGTATGTACCATAGTTTGTTTATCCATTCATCTATTGATGGGCATCTAGGTTGTTTCCTTTTTTCTTTGCTATTGTGAACAATGCTGCAATGAATATGGGTGTGCATATGTCTATTCGTGTGATGGCTTTTATTTCTCTAGGATATATTCCTAGGAGTGGGATTGCATTTTGTAGTGCTTTTTTTTTTTTTTGTGCTGATGTTTTCTTTGTTCCTCTTAAACGCTCCTGTGCTAAATTCCTTTCGTTTGTGGATTTTTTTTTCATTTCTTTTGTTTTTGTAGGTTTTGTTTTCACTGAGACTTTGTTTTTCTTCATTTTGATGAGTAGGTTTGTTAACTTTCTTTGCGGTTACGTTGAAATTTACCCTTATATTCCTAGATTTGAACAAGTCTATTATTAATTGGTATCGCTTTGCCTTTCTTTCCGTTAGAAGGTTCTATACCTACATCGTTTATTCCATCTGTTGTTGTTCTGATGCTGTTGTCATTTACAGATAAACGTCTAGTAATTCTTTTGGTTTTGTATAGTCCTTAAGAGTTCATTTCCTAGGTTGGTATTTGGCTAGTACAATCCTGAGTCCTGTATTCAGCCTGTGGTCTGATGTCGTTTGTTCTCAGATCAAAGGACTCGTTTTAATAAATCTGGTGAGTTTGGTTTGGTTTTTACATAGTCGTTAATTTCTGTTTATCTGGAAATGACCTAATTTCACCATCGTATTTGAACGAGAGTTTTGCAGGATATGTTATTCTTGGCTGGCAAGTCAAGGTTTTGTATATGTCGTCCCATTGCCTTTTTGCCTGCATGGTTTCTGCCAGATAATCCGAGCTTTGTCTTACTGCTTCTCCTCTGTATGTGACTTGTTTTTCTGGAGCTGCTCTTAGGATTGTTTGTTTTTGGTTTTAGCGAGTGTCATTATGCTATGCCTTGGTGATTTTCTTTTGGGGTCTATCCTACATGGGGTTTGTTGAGCTTCTTGAATGGTCAGCTTTTCATCTTTCATGATATTGGGGAAGTTTTCTGTTAGCAATTCTTCAGTGATCCTATCTGTGTTTTCTGTTTTCTACCCATTCTGGAACTCTGATCACTTGCAGATTTTTGGTTTTGATTGTATCCCATATAATTCTCAGGGTTTCTTCATTTTTTTTCATTCTGTTTTCTGATTTGTCTTCAGAGTGGTGTCCAAGTGTTTGTCTGCAATTTTGCTGATCCTGTCTTCCATCCTTTCAAACCTGCTCCTCAGCCCTTCTGTGACACTGTCCATTTATGAAATCTTGTTTATCTTTTGGATTTCTAATTGTTGTTTCTGTAGGATTTCTAGTTGTGAATTTATTTTGGCAGTATGTTCCTGTATTATTTTCTTGAATTCTTCTGTTTTGTGGTCTGTATTTTCCATGAATTTGTCTGTCCCTTCCATGAATTTGTCTATTTTTTCCTCATTTTTGTCTGCTCTTTGCTTCAAGTCTTGGATAATTCTAAATATTAGAGATTTGAATTCTCTATCAGTTAGGTATATTGCCTTTTCTACTGGAAAGTCATTTGGTGTTTTATTCTGGACGCCGACCGGAAACATCCTGTCCGGTTTTTGTAAATGTTTTGATGTTGTCTGCTGTCTTCAGGGCATTCAGTGGTTATTTTCTTCATTTATTGATTGTAGATTTGTTTCATCCTGTTTTTTTTTTTTTTAATTTGGTTATGTTTGAGCAGGCAGGCTGTGCGTTCTTTGCTCGTCTGTGGGCACGATACTTTTCAGCTCCTTCTCCAGTGGGCAGGGTCAGTCACTCAGGTATGGTATAACAGGACAGGTCCGGCTGCAAGGGAGTTGCTGGGAATGGTTTGTGGCATGTACCAGGGCTGACAGTGCGGACCGGGAATCAGTGCAGGGCAGGTTCCAATAGGCCGTACCTGTGCTGCTTGGGAGTGTGATGTTCAGCGCATGGTGCAGGTAGGCAGGAAGGAGGGGGTAGATTATGATGTGTGGAGCTAAGATGGGTATGGGAAAGAGGAGAGAAAGGAGAGGAACAGGGCCAAAAACAAACAAAAAAGGGGTGCTAAGGGAGCTTGCTATTGGAGTGGAGAGATGAGAGACTGAGAAATGGGGAAAAACAAAAGAAAAAAAACCAAAAGGGTAAAATAAACAATGAATAAATCAAGAAACTGAAAATGAAAGGTAAAAAGGGAGTAAGAAAGAGAACAAAACAAGAGAAAAACCAAAACAAACAAACAAAACAAAAGAATTGCCCCCAGGGATGTCCCTGTGTGTGTGCGCCGAGTAAGGGAGTAGCTTCCAAGCTGCGCAGTACTGCCTGGCTAGAAGGGGCTCCCAAGGCCAGAAAAAAAGAAAACAAAGAAATCAAAACAGAACAAATCAGGGCAAACAAATAATGAAAGCCGCGGGGGTCCGACCAGCACTGCAGCACGAGTTGGGAAGCAGCTTCACAGTCAAGCAGTGTTTGCAGCCTTTCAAG